GCGCCCCTGCGGCAGACCCCCCCCCCCCCCCGCCCCCCCCCTGCAGTGGCTACTCCCACAGCCCCTCCTGCCCACCCCACCTCTCCCTGTGCCCAAGCCTCACCCGACTCCAAGCTCTATCCACAATGACCCCTTGGTCATTCCTGAGAGCTTCCCTGCCCCTGCCCCTGCCCCTGCGCACACAGACCCCTCTGCCCAGACTACTCCCACCCCTGCACGGGGACAAGAGCTCCTCCTCAGGGCTCAGTTCAGACCCCATTCCTGGGGGGAGCCTGCCCTAACTAGGACTGCAGTGGGCTGGGCTGGGGCCTCAAGTCTCGCTCACTCTGACACTGAAATCGCCTCTTGGCTTTCTGAACCCTCCTAAGAGCATTAGGAGGTGCTCAGAAAATATTTGGGGTGCCTGCAATAAGCGCAGCTCCCCAGGGCTCTCCTCAGGGCCCAGCTGAAGGGGAAGGAAGGTGGGAGGGGCCCTGCCACCCACTCAGGCCCCGATCAGCCTCGGGTCAGACAAATGGAGAGCTCATCGAGGTCTGGCCTCCTGGCCGCTTCCGCATCCTGCATCCCACCCCGTCCACCTCAGTCTGTCTAGGGAAAGCAGAAAGCTTGGGCTTCAGTAAAGACCAGGGGTCCTGCAGCCCACAGAATGGGACAGAGCCTTGGACCCCGAGAACTGAGTCTGGCTTCCCACATGTTTACCAGCTGTGTGGCCTTACAGGGCTTCCAGGCCCCGTCGGGAAAACAGAGACAGTTCCCTCTGCCACAGCCCTCCTAGGCACGATGGCGCACATGAAGCTAGCCCGTAAACTGGAGGCCAGGAATGACTCTGGGGTCACACGGCCAGGGAAAGCAGGGGACCAGCTCCTCCCATGAAGAGGTGCAGACTCAAGGCTGCAGGGTGAGCTAGCAGCTGCTCTCACAGTGCTGGGGGCCAGGGGCGTGAGCTGGGGCCGTGGGAGCCCTTTTCCCCAGCCTGTTTCTCTGTAAAATGGGATAGTGGTGCCTCCACGAGGAGGCTGCCAGGGGCTCACATGGAGGTCACCCACAGAACGCCCCCAGTGGGGACCTGGCCCAGGAAGTGTTAGGTCAGGGGTAACCGCGTCTGGAACCCCCGCAGTGGCCAGGCGGCTGTTGCAACACTGGAGCCGGCCGCCCTGACTGGGTGCTTGGTCCTGCAGCCCCGACCCACCTCCTTGTTCCACATGATGAACATCTCCTCGTACACGGAGACGTGGGCGTGTTGGAGCCTCAGCAGCGGCATCAGCTGCAGAACGAGAACACAGGTGCAGAGGTCAGGGGCCAGGACGGGGGTGTGGACCTGAGCGGGGCAGGAGTAGGCAGGGGAGGCATGAAGCCTGGTTGGCTAGGAGCCAGCTGCTTGGGCAGAGGTCCCAACTTCAGGGTGTGCCAGCTGGCTGTGGGACTCAGACGGGCTCGTCTGCATCCGAAACCGGTCATGGGCACCTGCCTTGCAGGGTGACCCTGAAGACTCGGTGCGCTGATACGGGCAATAGCTGGTTCATGGAGCCAGACAGTGGTGCCATGGTGACACTCCGGGAGGCTGCCCACGTGGGGTGGCTCCAGGATTGCATTTGGAAACCTCAACACGCTAGGCACACGTGTACCTGAGATCTGGGACGGACAGACCTGGGAGTGGATTGTGGCATGAAGACCCCAGCTGGGTACATTCTCTGTCTCTCTCACTCATGGAAGAAATATATACATACATACATACATACATACATACATACATATATTTTTAAAGAGATTTCTGCTATAGCGTGTGCACTTGCCAGAGAATCAGAGAGACAGAAAGCAAGAAATCATCCCCCCTGGGGGGGATGGCCACGTCCACTCCCTTCTCCATTCTCTTCTTGGAACTTGAGGCACACACGCACACATGCCTGGTGTGATTTTAAGCCATCAGGTCTGGGACTCGAACTGCAGTAAACTACATGGAAGTCCAGTGACATACCCATTACACCATCGCTTGGTCCCAATAAATAAACTTAAAAAAAAAAAATCTCTGGGCCAGCAGGTGGCATGGTAGTTGAGACACTGGATCCGGGAACCAGCAGTTAACATAATGGCTATGTCGCTGGACTCCCACGTAGTCGACCGCGGTTCGCGGCCCAGACCTGGTGGCTTAAAACTCACGCCGGGCGGGTGTGCGTGCATGCCCAAGATCGCTTGGTCCCAATAAATAAACTTAAAAAAAAAAAATCTCTGGGCCAGCAGGTGGCATGGTAGTTGAGACACTGGATCCGGGAACCAGCAGTTAACATAATGGCTATGTCGCTGGACTCCCACGTAGTCGACCGCGGTTCGCGGCCCAGACCTGGTGGCTTAAAACTCACGCCGGGCGGGTGTGCGTGCATGCCCAAGATCCCGAGAGGAGAATGGAGGAGAAGGGATTGTGGCGTGACCATCCCCTCTGGGGGGTGATTTCTCGCTTTCTGTCTCTATGTCTCTCTCTGTCTGTCTGGCGAGCGCACGCGCCCTATAGCAAAAAAAAAAACCTCCCCCCCAAAAAAAGACACTGGATCCCCAGTGGCCAATTCTGTGATCCAAGTACCAGAAATGGCATCTTGAAAATCACACCAGGCATGTGTGCATGTGTGCCTCAGATCCTGAGGGGATCATGTAGAAGGGACTGTGCTGTGACCATCCCCTTGGGGAATGATCTCTCACTTTCCCTCTATCTCTGTCTCTCTCCACCAAGTGCATATGCACTACAGCAAAAACCTCTCCAATAATAATAATAATAATAATAAAAAAAAAAAAAAAAATTAAAAAAGGAAAAACAAGAAAAAGAAAAAAGATTTCCTGGTGCACAGGAAATATAGCACAGCAAGGGTAGCTAAGAAAGGGGCGCATCCACGGGAGGGGGGCCCACCTAGAGCCCCCAGGTCCCTCTTGTCCCCAGCTGCAAGTGCTCTGAAACTAAACCCAGCCAGGCAGCAGCTGCCGTGGACGACAAGGCAGATGGACGGCAGCTCGGAGTGGTGTGCGGGAAGCAGTGGGATGTGGGAAGCCGCGTCGTGGGGGGCTCCAGGGGTCTCCCTTGCTCCTCCTTCCACCCCTGTGCCTCAGTCACACTGCGGACTACACAGGCATCCCCGCGAAGCTCCGCAGCCAGCACCCAGAGATCCGGAGGGCTCTTAGCCTGGAGCGTCAAGGGGGACAGAGGCAGCCACCTACAGCGCGACAGCCCCGCAGGGCAGAACTAGGGTACTTGGCATTTTCTTTGTTAAACAATTCTGCATTTTCCAAATTTTCTACTGTAACTGATATTTAACAACTGAAGAAAACATCTTTCAAAAGAGGGCACAGAACAGTCCCGCATCATGTGTGTTCCGCACTGTGAGTGCACCATGTATGTGCTGCATCCTGACTGCCACATTGTGTGTGCTGTGTCATGTGTGTGCTACATCATGTGAGCACTGCAACATGTGTGCTGCATCATGTGAGCGCTGCAATATGTGTGTGTCACATTATGCATGTGCACCTTGACTGCCGCACTGTGTGCTGCATCACGTGAGTGCTGAAATGTGTGTGCCACATCATGTGAGTGCTGCAACATGCCAGTGCCATATCACATATGTACTGCATCATGAATGCTGCATTATGTGTGTGCTGCAACGTGTGTGCTGTGTCATGTGAGCACCGCAACATGTGTTGCCACATCATACATGTGCTGCATCACGAACGCTGCGTTGTGTGCTGTGTCATGTGTGTGCTGCACCATACGAACAATGCAACATGTGTGTGATGTGTCATATGATCACTGCAACATGTGTGTGCCACATCATGTGAGTGCTACATCCTGACTGCCACACTGTGTGTGTCGTGTCACATGTGTGTGGTGTGTCATGTGCATGCTGCACCGTGTATGCTGCACCGTGCCCCTCCAGAGAGGAAGCCTCCCACCGTTACCTCCTCCAGGGCTTCATTGGCCTGATGCTCATCAACGCACTCCACCTGCAAGGGCAGAGAGCACCCGCTCAGTGCGTGCAGCAGGTCATCACCGTCACCACCACCCCTGCAGGGCCACCCCCACTGCCACCACTACCACCTCGCCCCAGTGCCACCCCCAACACCGCCTCGTCATCATTGTCCCCACTACCAACCCCACCCCATCGCCACTGCTGTCCTAAAACCCAGTGCCACCAACACCACCACCGCCACCCCAACACCGTCAGCATCCCCATCCCACACCCTTCCCACCGCCGTCACTGTCGTCACTGCCATCCCCACCACGGCCACCACCAGTCTATGCCACCATCGCCCCATCATTGCCAGCACTGCGATCCCTAGCCCCACACAACATGATCATCCCATCCCCATCGACTCCATCGTGGCCACCCCAACACCATTACCATCCCCGCCACCACCACCCGTCCCTCCCCACACCACTGTCTTCGCCACCGTTGTCACCATTTGCTGAGGGTGCCAGGCTGTCATTGTTCAGGCCCCCACCTAGCACCAGATGGAGCCTGGAGATGTTGTAAGGCAGAGATCTAAAAACACACAGGGAACTTCAAAAAGCTCATGGGAAAGTGGAATTAAAGTACACGTTTATTTTGGTGCAAAAAGTTTTCAAATCCATGCCTTGTTTTCTCACAGAAATGTTCTGTGAGCTTGTGGAAGGCTCATACTCCGAGTGCTGAGAACACCTGCTCCTGCTGCAAGGACCGGTAAGGGTGCCAGGACAGAGGCTCCAGGGACCAGCAAGGGGCAATGTTCAGACCTGCTCCAGAGCAGGGAGGCTGGAGCATCGGCCCGCAGCCACACAGAGCACCATTTCACTCTGCCCAGACTGGAAGCCCACCCCCCTGCACAGGACGTGCGCACGAGTCTCTCTCCTCTTGCCCTCCCTGGGGGTAGGTGAGGGCAGGAGGGGACGCATGGAAAGGGAGGGGTGAGGGCAGCACACAGCCGAGTCTCAAAGACTCCCTCCAGGTCCCGACCCAGAAATCTGCCCCTGAGACTTTAGAAATGAAGCAGTCTTGTGACTGGAGTGATCGCAGAGCAGAATATAAAGTTAGTGACTGTTCAGACCCACATAGAGACCTGACGTGCCAGTGGCACCGTCCTGGGAGGCTGGACAGACATCGAGCGATCTGCCTGCCTCTCCTCCTACTGCCAGAGGGCTTAGGAGTGGGTGATGTGGCCCAAACACACCGAAGCCTTAAGCATGTTACCTCCTTTGACCCAGAAATCCCACTCCTAGCAATTTTTCCTAAGGAAACCATGGATGCTCCATCAATAAAGTAACTCTGAAGTTTACCAGAGCTATTTATACACACAGGAAAACTGGGGACAAGCTAGCTGCTCATTCCATGGGGGGGATGGGGGGCCACACACCCTCTAGGACCTGGGGGTGGGGAGCTGTGTTAACAAGATGTGATGGGGGCCGGCAGGTGGCATGGCAGTTAAGGGCGCTGGACTCCTCCATGGCCAACTGCAGTTTGAGTCCTGGACCTGGCAGGTTGACAACATTTGAAAGTGCTTTCTCACTTTCCTTCTCTCTCTCGCTCTGTCTCTCTCTGTCAAATTAAATTAAAGTAAATAAGTAAAGCTAAATAAAACAATTCTTTTAAAAAAAAAAACAAGGTATGATGGTCACAGTATAATAAGTGGAAAAAAGCATGTCCTCAACATCAACAGTACCATTCTTGTAAAAGCAAAAAGGTTTTAGACGTTTAGAAAAAAGACTGGGAAGAGATCAGCCAGTGGCATGGAGGTTAAGATGACTGGATCCCACATGGCTGATTGAGTGGTTCAAGTCCCAAACCAGGTAGCCTGAAAATCATGCCAGACCAACAGATGGCATGGTGAAGGCGCTGGACTCCCACATGACAGACCATAGTTTGAGTCTTGGAGTTTTTCCAAAAAGAAAGAAAGACGAACTAGAAGGATACACAAATTTCTGCCTCCACTCAAGGCAAGCTTTATTTACAAAGAACTGGCTGTCTTTTTCTTTCTTTTTTTTTTTTTGAAAGCAAGTGAGCTTGCCAAAGAGAGATAGTGAAGGGGAGGAGAAAGTGCCCTCACGGGAAATGGTCACGCTGCAAGCCCACCTCCAATTCTCTCGTTTTGGGATTTTGCAAACTGCAGCACATATTCCCAGCATATGTTACAAGCCACTGAGTCGGGTCTGGGACTCGAACTGAGCCATGTGGGATCAGGCTGCCATAATCACCAGGCCACGGAGCTGGCTCTGGATGGTGTTTTTATTTTTCATTTTATTTTATTGCCATAGGGTGCATGCACTTGTGGAGAAAGAGAGAGGGAAAGTGAGAAATCACCCCCCAGGAGAGATGGTCACACTAAAATCCCTTCTCCTCCCAGAATTTTGGACAAGAACACACACACACATCTGATATGATTCTCAAGCCACCGGGTACAGGACTTGAACTGCTATAGCCCAGGGAACAGTCCAGTGCCTTAACCACCACACCATCTGCTGGCCTTCTAAATGGCTTTTTTTTTTTAAGAATTATTTATTTTTAATTTTATTTATTCATTTACTTACTTTATTTTGACCAGAGACAGAGAGAGAGAAAGTGAGAAAGCAAGCCATCAGGTCCAGGACTTGAACCATGGTTGGCCATGTGGGAACATCCAGCGCTTTAACCACCACGCCACCTGCTGTCCCCTGAATGGCTTTTTAAGAAGTATCTTGGCCAGCAGGTGATATGATAGTTAAGGCGTCAGACTCCCACATGGTCAACCACAGTATGAGTTCTGGACCTGGTAGCTCTCTCATGCTCTCTCTCTCTCTGGTAATGGCCACTACAATCCCTTCTCCTCCTTTCTCCTTTTTTTTAAAATTTTTTTTATTTATTATTTTTTTTTTAGAGGTTTTTGCTATAGTGTGCGTGTGCTCTCCAGAAAGAAAGAGAGAGACAGAGAGACAGAAAGCGAGAAATCACCCCCCAGGGAGGATGGCCACGCCACAATCCCTTCTCCTCCATTCTCCTCTCGGGATCTTGGGCACGCACACACACGTGCCCGGCGTGAGTTCAAGTCACCGGGTCTAGTATTTGAACCGCGGTCGTCTACATGGGAGTCCAGCAACATAGCCATTACACCAACTGCTGATCCCCTCCTTTATCCTCTTGGGATTTGGTTTTGGACATGCGGGCACAAGCTCCCAGCATGACTTTCAAGTTTCTGGGTGCAGGACTTGAACCACGGTCAACCATGTGGGAGTCCATCAACATAACCATTATACCATCTGCCGGTCCTTAATTGCCCAGAGGCAGTCAACCACCCTGGTCCACTGCCCTGGTCCACTGGCCATGAGAGGAGGCGTCTGACCCCACAGCATCCTGCAGCAGAGCAGGAGGTGGGCCAGGACTGCAGACCTGGGCCTGGGATGACGCTGCTGAGCTGCACAGGCTACAGGCCTGGCAGGGCAGGTGCCCACAAGCTGCTCCACCTCATAGTCAGACCCGATCCTCCCATGTCCCTGCCACAGTCATAGCAGCACAGCGTCCCTCTGCCCCGAGACCCTCTGTACCTGGACCCCCGTAGACACACAGAGAAGTGTCTGCCAGCAGGCCTGGTGAGAAGTGCCATAGGAGGGCCCAGGGTGGTATCCCTCCCTTAGCCCTGAGTGACCTGGGCTAGCCCCTCCCCTCTCCAGGCCTGGCTTCCTTTTGGTAGAACTGGTGACCCTGTGCCATAGCACACCTGGTCACCCAGCAGGGTGGCCTGAATTGGAACCCTCTTAGAAGCTATGTGGCCTTGGCCAGTCCTTACTGTCTGGCAGATGGGGTCATTACCCCGCCTCGAAGGCTGATGGAAGATTATGTGGGTAAATGTCCAGCATGCAGGTGTGACAGTACCGTCAGTGGTAATGTCAAGTCCAAAACCCAGCTTCCTCACTGAGGGAGGGAGCCTGGCATGGTGGGAGGCGGGGTATCTCCTGCCACTCCCCATGTCCACCTCTGCCGGAGTTGTCTCCATGACTGTGGCGGGGAGGAGTCTGGGGCGGGGGGAAGCTGGTGGGAGGACCAGCTGGGCCTCTGACCTGCTTGAGCACATGGCTCACTGTGGTCCTGGCCTCCTCCACTATGAGGTTCACGCCCAAGGCTCCAGGATTCAACTGGGACAAAATCTACAAAGGAGAAAAAGGCTTTCAGGGAGTGCATGCAGCTTCTCTCTTTCTCAAGAGCTTCTGGCTCAGGGTTTTTCTGGTCCTCTTCACTTCCAGTCTGACTGCTGGGGCTGAGCCAGCACCTCTTGCCCCTCGCCACGGTGACCACCAGCCAGGCATCCAAGGGCTAGCCCCCTCTGACCCCAACCTGCACCCACCTCCAAACCAGGTGTCCAAACAGGAGAGCTGGTCTGGTCACTGGTGTGACCTTTGTCCCCACCATCCCTTGCCCACCACAGTGCCACTAAGCCTCCCTCACCCCTGTGATCCTCCCATGCAGGGAATGCTCCCACAGTGAGGAAAACCTCACCTACACCTTGTTTCCAAATCAAGGACACTGAACCTGCCAAGTAACAAAGTTGGTGTGTTATTACTAATGCATGGGATTAAACGTTCATCCCAATTCATCTTGCTGCTTTTCTTTTGTGTTTTGTAACTTTTCAGGTCTTGAATCTGGCTTTCGATGGGGGGCTGCTTGTCAGGTCCTCTGGGTGACCTAGGTGCCCTCTGTCTCTAAAGACCCATGGCTGGGAAGGTTGGGGACCAGGAGAGGCAGAGGGCACCCAGGAGGTCACCTTTGGGTCCACCCATGAGTCAGAACGCGAGTCCCTAACCCCTGGGGGTGGACCTCAACGCCAGCGCCCCTTCAGGGCAGTGACGTTATCCCTGCTGGGAAATGGTCGCCCCAGGCTGTAGGCCCACATATTCCCCTCCTCCCACCAGCAGACCATGCGACACCTGGTACTTCTCCATGGTAACTCCGGGGAGACACCTGGTCATACTTCTCTCTGCACTGGGCGTTAGGGGTCCGCGCCCGGAGTGGGCGCCTACGGTTGGACTCGGTCTGAGCATGCTCAGTAGGGACCCAGAGCGCGCCCTCCCCCTATCTCCCCCATCTGCCCCACTCTCTATCCCGGAGGCGACCCTGTGGGCCCAAGTGACTCGCTCCGACTGTGTCTGCTTGACCCGTAGGACCCCCCTCACCCGAACAGCGCCTGCTGGGGAACCCAAGCGTCCCTAGTTGGCCTGGCCCTTCGGGCCGTGTCGGGCTTAAAGGGCCTTCTCGCAGCGGGGACCAAAACGGGGAGGGCGGGGCGAAAGTGTGTGGGCGGGGCCTATGCAGAGGCGGGCGGGGCTTTAGCGAGGCCTCGAGCGTGACCGGCGGGGCGGGGCTTGTGGCTTGTGGGCGGGGCCTGG